AGAATCCTGAATTTACCTACCATGTAAATGATTCCAGTTTTTTGTGAGGCATGATTATTCATTGTGTGAATGATTCAACCGAAATAATAGGCAAAATCAGCTGTAATAGCGTTACATCGGTCGTCTAGTTACAATAGGAATCTAGATCCCTGCTGAAGTGTAAAACAATAGTGAAAGTCTCTAAAATATGTAGTGTGCAGCAGTTATTTGTTTTGATAGAGATGGCTACGTCAGCCAGACGAGTAGAAATACAAGGTTGGAACAAGAAATGGCAAATTAAAGTCTTTGTTAAAAAGACATCACTTCAATGTTGTATTTGCGGCGGGGCTATCGAATTCTGCATCTCCTTTTTTTGCGGCAAGCCATGCTACTGTCACAGAGTAGTGTTGCCAGATGGGTCCGATAGAATTCTCCCAAGACAAGTCCAAAAATCCACAATTTTTTTTTCAAAAAATATCCTAATCCATAATTCAATAAAACTATCCACATAAATATTTACAATCAGATTATTAAGAAATATATAATTTTTCAAAATAAACAATGCCTGTTTAGACAAGTGTAGAGCAGGTTAATACAAAAAGTATTCTATAGAAGATAATGGAATTTTTTGAAATAATTTGAATTTTTAGGTACACATATACTCTTCAAGTGTTCAAACTTCAAAACGTTTGTCACTTTTAAAAACATGGTACCTAAACTTGAAAACAGAATCATTTTATTTCATTATACCCTATTCAAATGGTATTTGCATAATCCTCTTCTTATTCTACTGGGCAATACTAGCTTGGTCCAAAGCATGCATTTGTTCATCTTGTCATAGGGTAAATGCCATTTTAATAGGGTATACGGGGTTTGTCCGGAAAGTAATAGGACTGAGTCGATTTAAAAAAATTTGTTGAGCCAATCGTTACAATTCTTTAAAAACTTCCAATTTCCAATTTCCAAGCATTGAAGGCTCATGGAAGGCATTCTCCGGAATAGCCTTGAGAGCCGCGGTGCATGCTGCTTGGATCCCTTCTGTCGTCTCAAAATGCTTGCCTTTCATCGGCGTTTTCAGGCGAGGAAACAAAGTCCGGGGGGCACATCTGGGCTGTAGGGCGGCTGCGGAAGCGTTGGGATGCCGGCCTTGGTCAGGTAGCTGTTCACAAGAAAGGCGGTGTGAGCCGGGGCGTTGTCGTGGTGCAACTTCCAGTCGGCTGCGATGTCTTGTCGGTTCCGACTGACCCTTCGTTTGAGTCTCCTGAGCACTTCCACGTAAAACTTGGCGTTGACGGTTTGTCCAGGAGGAACAAATTCATGGTGGACGATGCCTTTGACGTCAAAAAAGACAATGAGAATCGTTTTCACTTTGGATTTGCTCATTCTTCCCTTTTTTGGGCGAGAAGAAGCCGTCGTGTGCCACTCGGAAGACTGCCTCTTTGTCTCGGGATCATACTCAAAGATCCACGACTCGTCACCTGTGATTCCGTTATTCAAAAATTGGGGGTCACTTTCACACATGTTCAAATTTTCTTGGCACACTTCCACTCGCCGCAATTTCTGATCGTCAGTGAACACTTTTGGGACCATCTTCGCGCACACCTTGCGCATGTTCAAATGCTGTGTCACAATGTCATGAACCACAGATTTTGGTAAATTTAACATCTGGGCAATTAAACGAATACTTAGTCGACGGTCTGAGTTCAAAAGTTTGCGCACACGAGTCACATTATCGGTGTTTGTCGAAGTCGAAGGTCTTCCAGCACGGTCTTCATCAGCGACCTCTTCCCGGCCCTCCAAAAAGGCCTGGTGCCACCGAAACATACCACTCCTTGCTAAAGCAACACCTGGGTAAGCCTGCTTGATCATATCAAACGCCTCTGTCGCAGATTTACCGAGTTTCACACAGAATTTAATCGCGTACCTCTGCTCCAACGAACGCTGCATTTTCGGCTTGCACCACTCACAGAAACACGTCGCGCGAAAATGCTTGTCCTGACTCTCCAAGTGCTCGGAGACAACTGACCAGCCGCTCATTCGTTAGCTAGGAACGCCCTCTACCGAATCCAGTCGGTGCGCGCAGGCTCCGAAGTACAGTCATGGCGGAAGAAAATGAGTCCTATTACTTTCCGGACAAACCCTGTACATTGAAAACCAGATACCACTGACGGCGTAAGGTGTACGAGAGAGAAGCGTGCAATACGTGTGTTATAAAAGGATAGAAGCACATCGTTGCCTAGTAACCCGAGTACGAGGTCACGCTTCTCTCTCGTACACATTACGACGTCAGTCGCCTCAACATATAAGCAATAAAAGTTAAATTAGTCTTTTGGTAGTGGCTAGAAAAGGCTTCCCCAAAAAATCCCCTAAAGGTGAAAAAATCTCCAAATTTGGGTGCAAAGTCCCCCAATATGGTAATGCTGGATACATGCAAACCTTTACTTCAAACTTCAGGTCAGTCAGGACCAATAAGGCTCAAGTTGTTCCTAGCACTTATGTGTGACAAAATCTTGCAGCAATAGAAGTTTAACTGTTAACTATCAGTTTATTGTTTGGCTTTGTTCAAATTTCATAGATACAAATTTTCATATGCAATTTGATTATGATTTACAGTAGGAGTTGAGGAATTATCACATGTGTCTGTTTCCACTTATCTATACAGCATTGCTGCTCCTAATGAGATCCTCTAAAAAAAATGTCTCTAAGGACTTGTTCTGCAGAAACTGAAGAAATCACGTCAGAGTATTTGAATTTCTACAATTATAATAGTTAAGCTACAAAAACAGCTTAGGGCCCTATCGTCAATCCTTCCTACAATCATAGGACGGTTTTATGGCCTCCTTGATTTGCATAGTCTTTTCTCTCATTCAGAAAGGCTGTGGTATTTCTAAACTTCTACTATTCTGTGTCAACATCAGCTTTCTTTTTGAATTGTAGGTAATTTCAGGCTGATAAGACATCATATAAATCAAAAGCATGAACAGCTTGATGCAAATAGATATTTGTGACATAACCTCAAAATAGAGCGAGGACACGGAAAAGTGGTAAACTATGAAAATCAAGGAGCCCATAAAGGTGTCCTACAATTGTAGGAATGACTGACCATTGTTGTAATTCCAATGACGATAAAATGAATATGACAAATGACAGAATGTTGATTATGATCAACTATTTCAGTTTATTGATTGTTGCAGTAAAAAGGTAGTAAGAGTAATAGTGACAGTATGATCTTCCACTATAGTATCATTTTGTCAAGGTCATTGTCCTGTTTAAAACATAAAAATGGATCTCAAAAGCAAAATAAATGTGGATGAAGATATTTTAAGCTTTAATTTGTTACTACAGCTTTCATAGTAAAATCTAGTGAAATTTCAAACAATGTATTGTTAAATGTAAATAAAAATTCTTCAGCCTTCAATGTCTCTTCAAATGCTATTATATCTTTACCTCTATATATCTTCTATGTGATGTCAATCAGCTGCATAAAATTCATCATTCAGAAACTCATGTATCCTGGGGGGGTCTAGATCCCACCCCCAAAATATAGTTTGAAAAAACTTCAAATGTGTTTTCAAGTTTGAAGATGATCCTCCTCCCTCTCCCCAATTTTCAATCTTTGATACCCGAGATGGACATCTTCCTGAACATGAATCATCAACTAAACATCAAATATCCCAAACTAATAAGATTTCTTTAGCCACCATAGCAAGTTGCATTGAGTATTGTGTAATTAACTCACTCACTAAAAATGCTGAGATTACTTCAATTGCAATAACCTCTGCTAGTTAGCATTTCCAAAATGTAATAGATAGTACAGTAAATTAAGATTAGATTTTTGTAGGTTAGTTTGTCAAAATATACTTTTCTAAGATACTTTATAGATCTGATCATTATTATCATAATTACAATAATATTATTACTGGTTACACCTTTTGTTTGATGATGGATTGTAAAATGTGCAATGTGGTACGTGAGATAATGACAAATGTTTTTGATAATTAATCCTTTCCTGCAATTTAGCAAATTTCCTACTGATACACAAATTTTCTTGTAAAACTTTTGATCAAAAGATAAACTGTACACATTATATTCATTTACAATTGCCGCTAAAGCTTGATTTTTCTATTAGTTCAAAAATAAGTAAAATGTACTATTATAAAGATATACACTTAAGGATTACAGCCAATGTATAGGGACAAGCAATAAGGTGTCAACAAAATAAACCTACAAATAACTAAGGATGTACTTACATTGACACTCAATTTATAAACACACTGCGATTACTAATAACTATTTAGGCACAAAATAACAAAGTAAAATGAGTACATCTTAATAGTGACAACAGTGCCCCAAAAATATTCATATTAGTATTCAATTATGGTGTATATGCCTTGACCACTGTTTCTTTATAAAAACTATTAAACTTTCACAATCTGTATGCCTAGTGTCACCACTTCAAAATTTTTAAAGCTGTATGCCACTTTTATAAATATACAATACGAAACATAAATAGGACTTCATAATTGGGAAGAAGTCAGGGCCATGCCATATGAATCTTAGGAATTGCAATGTTACAAATTCGCCCATGTCGACTGAACTATATTTGGATTGAAAATTTTCCACTCGACTGTTACACATTCAAAGTAGGTACAGATCAAATCAAGTCACATATTTTTTTGAGAATACATCGTCAATGTGAATCGTCACTATATTTTATCAGTTTAATAGTCTGAATAAAAGATTTCTAGCAAATCATCACATGGAAAATGCATTCGGCAAAACTGGCAACACTGCGTGATTCCGGGAATTGACGATTCGCATACCTGGAATTTACACTAAAAAATTATGTAAAACAAAATTTCACAACAAAATTAGGGTGATCCAACTACCACAAACCTGGAAAATTCTGATCCCTAGATTCGTCTCCGTGATACCACAATAAAAACAGTATTACAAAATTTTAACAAAGTTCAAACTGTGTCAGACGCATTATACAAATAAAACTATTATTGTTTACTTACCAGAAAAAGTCTTCGTGTGTAATTTAACAGTAAACGTGTACATGGTAATCCAAATAAGAGCGCAATTTAAAGGACCAGCCTTCAAAAAAATAAACTTTGCACGTGCATCAAAATTGCTAAACAGGTGTCGCAGGATAAAAAATAACGTAGATTGAACTTGTACGGTAAAACAATCACAAAAATGCCATATATTTTCAAGTTAGAAACAAAAGAATGCACGTTGACGTGTACCGCGGTCAACCCGACCCGATTATTTTCACGATGGACGTTGAGAGACGTTACGACAAAAGGCGATGTTTTTAGTACTTTTCTGGTGGAATCGCTCTTAGATCTGCTCGAGATAGTTGATAGAAAATGATACATTTCGTCAAAAATACAACGTAAAATTCGATATTTCAATGGAAAATGAATCGCCACAAGATGTCTCTTGACGATAGGTTCATTGATACTTGGTGTCTGCAGACGATAGCCTGAAAAACAGGATTGTAGCAGCAGAAAAGCATTAATCCTACCTCTGAAACGCTGTCTTCTTCGCTTTCTGATGATTCCGACATGAATCTGTGATGTTCTGAATACGTTTCCGTTTCCACAGATTTTGCGAGACTTGAATTGGACGTGGTTGACTGGGGAGTAGACGACGAATTGCCTAGTTCGTGCAGAACACTCACTTTATCTATTTTCGGATTATCTCTAGACGCCTCATGAGGAACATTCTGCATGTTGACATTTCAATTGGTCTTTTGGCTATCTGTTTGTTACACTATTTCTTGGAAAACTCACTTTACACACGCGATTTTCAAGTACATTCGTTCACATTGCCTTCGTATCCTTCGCCATTTTCCACTATGGCCGCACGATTCGAGTTCCGTATTAAGTTCCCACGGCCTTTATGCCATCTTACCTAAGAATGCGGAACTAAGAAGATAAAATTATAAAACAGGTCAATCGCCGCTCATACTACACTACTGACGAGTAGATGGCGCCAGTACATTATTTGTTTGAATTTCTTGCGGTATAGGCAACACACGTAACGGTAACTACATCATTATAGTTTAGTCGAGATAGTAATCAGAGATAAACCCTTCTGTAGTAATAAAGATAGATTAAACCAATAAACATACCCTTGATACAACTTACAGCCATTTGGCCTCTTGGAGCTAGTTTAAGAAATATTTAATAACAAATGTCTTTATTGTGGTAAATCAGCTGGGCGCAGTTTGGCCACAGCTACTCTTACACTTAACTCCTCTCTATGTGAAAAAAGTAACAAAGATAAATAGAATTCACATGAGATTTACTAGAAGCGACATTTACCACACAAAATATTAAAACTTCATATTTCTCAGTTCAAATGAAACTACTTATGTTGACATTACTCTTTAGTGACGTTTCGGCCACCGCGGTAGCCTTTTTAAAGTACAAATACATAGCTATCTTGTTTATTCTATATGTCTTACAGGTGACATAGGTATCTTGTTTATTGTTGCTTTTCCTTTTCTTCACTGCTATGAATGTCGATATTTGAGGGGCAATTTTTGGGTCCACTTCAAAAAGAAGACATCGTATGTACGTGCATCCAAAATGTCTTAATTTGTGAGATACAGGGTAGTAAAGTTTTCAAAAATAAATCATTTATTATTAATATCTATATATATAGTTGTCGTCACCGTTCTTGGCAGGTCAAAGTAAGACTACCACCAGTATCCCTTTATATACATATCTCCATCTCCCTCATACATACACATGCAACCTACCCGTGTACGGTAAGCTCTGAGACATACGCTATTTAGTTGTGTGTCTCCGTCTCGAAAACGTTGTCGTTACATATGAGAGCCCTTCAATCATATTTGTCAGAGTGACAACTTACTTGACATCGGCGTTCAATTTTGGTTGTCTTCAATATAGAGTATTTCCAGGAAGAAAATGAAAACAGCGGTTTCCTGTTACCCCTTTCATACGTTTTGGAGAGAGTAGCAGATGTGCTGAAGATTAGTCTGCGTTCATGGTACGGAGACTCGATCTGTTTACTTATTTCATATGGCGTTGATGACGTAATCGGCAAGAACGGTGACTACACCTATACTACTTTAGATATTTCAATGAAATTTGGCAGTATATCTGACATTCATCATCACCCCATGCACTGTGTTGCGATTACAGCCTGAGGGCACTGGCACTGCATATAACCAGCAAACCTCAGGAATGCCTGGGGTAGGCATCCCCACTCCCAATCGACAATACTGTACTTTTGTACCTTGAATTATAATATAAAATCACTAGTTATGGCCAAGTTAGCTCCCTTAGTCAAAGGATCAAGTTGTGCCCATGGGCATTTTTCATCAAGATATCTAAAATCACATACTAAATTTTCTTAAAAATTAACCAAATCTCGAACTATCATAGGCATAACATGTGGGGTCCTTTTAGGTGCATTATAGAGCTGCTTTTCAGTGACCCAGTTGAGCTACTCGGAGTAACTCACCATCATGCTGCTCAGCACCAATAAATACACTGGAAAGCAGCTTATGTATTCAATAATACTTCATAATTAGTAAGTTTGTATTTTTTTTTAGAGGAGTGGACTTGCAAGATGCAGAAGAGGCGTAGAATGTTTTTTTAATAACATTTTTCTAGCAAATTAAACAATTATATCTAGAATGAATTTTCTTTATAAACCCAATTTTATATAAGCATTCCTACAGGTTTTGCTAAAATAACCAATGAAGAATTTTCTGTATACATTGAAAATATGTATCAGATTAATGCTTGAAAATCCATACATATTTACGAAAAATATTACGATATTTCATCAAAATATAAAATTGATATTTAAAAATCTTTCCTCATATATTTTCGCGATATTTTTTATAAATATTTATATACTATATATACTACAACATTAAAAAATCTGTCGCTACAAATATTTAACAAACATTTTTTGAAAATATTTAATATTTAATGCTATCGGGGAAAAGACGTCCAGGACCCCAAAATTTAAATTTCTAAACTGTCAGTTTGTAGGAAATTATTTTTTCCAAGACATTCAAAGCTGTACGTGTCATATCAACAAAAAAAAACAACTTGCAAAAAAGTTCATATATTTATCAGCTATGTACCTATATAATCTAAATAGGTTTAAACAGAATTGATATGTACATCACAATATACGTATAATTATATACTTTTCTAAGACTACAATTAGAATTACACACTTAGTGGTTGCAGGCACATAAAACTAGTCTCAGAAGTATGACCAACAATCTGCACTAAAGAAATAATGTAAGACGAATTTGATATTCGTTAGAATTTCCTCCTTTGATCAAAAATGCCAGTAAAATGGACGATTTTCAACTACTTTTAAAAGTTTTGCTGATGCTTTAAAAGCGGGTCAATTTTAAAAAAAGTGTAAACAAACCATTTTATAAATTTATTTCAATTACGGACAATTTTTGTAGTGGGGTAATAATGTCTGTCTATTTTATCGCGAAATTATAACTCAGTATACTAGCAAATATTTCAAAAGTCATGGAAGAGATTTTTATGACAATTGACCAAAAACTCAAGATTAAACTCTCTGAATTGGTTAGGGTTATTTCCAAACATGTAATTCTCTAACCTTCTATTTATTCCAACTCGTAATTCTGAAAAAATAAGTTAATCGCTCAAAACAACAATAAATCAACTCGATTTCCAATTTTCCTTATGAGTTCGAATTTGTAGTTTTCTTACTTTTTGGACGCTAAGCCTATAGAGGTCATAAAAAATCTGGAAGAGTCATTGAAAGTCTTATTAGGGTCTCACAGCAATAAGAGCGAGATCCAAACTGTTGTACTCAGCGATTTGTCAGATGAAAATAGTTCTGATGAATCTGAAGATGAAGAAACAGAGCAGTTATCACAAAACAGGAGAAGTGAACAAACTGATCTTATAGTGATAGCAGTTGAAAATAAGATGAAAAAATCGAACAAAACTATACAGATCGGGTAAAAACAGCATCGTCTACAAAAAAGAAGAAATCACAAGTAACACGCCAAAATTTTTGCAACTTGCTGTTGAACTTCTTGAAGCGGGATGGCAGCATAAAGCAAATAAATCGATGTACGTCATGCACTATAATCGATTTGACAAACGGAGATGAAGCAAGAGATGGAATCTATATATGTTTGCCCTTATATTTCAGTGTTTAACATATTCCACCAGGAAATTCCCAATCCCAATTCGTAGAATGGAGAGGTTTCATAATATTCAGCAACAAATAAATAGTAACATACCAACAAAATATAGGTGAAATATAATCAACTATTGAAAAATTATTGAAACAGGTCAATAAATGACAGACATTAATATTTTATGTTCGCCTATTGTATGGCGAAATAGATAGTGCCTTCAGTTCGCCCATGACGTCACAGATCCGCAGTGCCTAGGGTCTATACCTGGTACCTCGATTAGACATGTAGTAAATGTACACTCAACATCACTGCTTTGTGGTTTTCTATGATTAAATGAGTATTTAGTAGGATTGCATCATAATGGAAGAATGCTTTGTAAAAGGGCAGTGATAATTTGACTAAAATTGATATTTTCACAAGGATGGAATTTATTTCATCAAATTTATCATATCAAAATTGTCTTCACCAACATATTTTGAACTATTTGTAATTGTAACAGTTGCCATCACAGCTTTTGGAAATTTGGAAAACTGTCTGAACGATTTTCGACATTTTCAAAATGTTATGATATTGAAAATTTTGAAAGATCTCAATATTATGAAGATCCTGAAAATTAAGAACATTTTAAAATCATGCAAAATCTTGAAAACAAATGTTTAAAAACCAAGGAATGAGCATTCCTCAAATGACACAATCATCGAAAATGTCTATAAATACGACCCTTAGGCCTAATTTTACAAACTTTGCTCCTAGGGAGTGAATTCGACCACGAAGAAAGTATTTTGGAAGTAATGGACAATGAATATGGTCGATTTCTTCCAAAACACCTCTCAAACTAACGATAAAGTATACGATTTCTGTAAGAAGAGCGTTAGATCCCCCCCCATATTAAACCAAGAAATTCTTTATAAAGCAGAGATTTTACTGCTGTTCCTTAGTCTGTACTTCACACACACAGAGTGACCAAATCACTTTGATTTCAATCACATCAGTTTAAGAAAAAAACATACATTTTTTTCAACCATACGTCACTTAACAATAGGCAGAGATATCGGATTGTTTTTTGCTATGGTTAGATTCAAATTTGTTTGTCAAACATACTTGTCAAATTAATAAGAGTCTCTGTCGTCTCATTTTAAATCCGAAGCCACAAATGGCGCAAAATCCAAAGAATGCTACGAAAAGGAGCATGGGAACTTTGAGGAGTGGTGCCAGTCCAAGAATGTATCATCAACCAAGGAAGAAGTCTTCCTGGCATATTTTGCAGACATAGCCAAAGTGTGTGACCCTCAAAATCTTGGTTATGTTATTCTATGTTGAAAGCTATGCTCAAAATAAGAAATATCGTTATTGCAAAATATAATGTAACAGCTTTCCTTAAGAAACAAATTACTGGGTTTAGCCCAGCTCCAAGAAAATCCTGGAAAACAACTCGCATTTCACGTGACAAAGCAAGGGCAGCACAAGCAGTGCCACATCTACAGGACGTTCTAGAGAACATGAAACTTTAGAAGAAAGCGACTCCGGCGGCACTAGTCCTGCTTCGAGAACGCCTACAAGTTTTCGTAATCCAAATTACTGTTTTTTTTTCTTTTAAGACTGTTAATAATTATTATAAATGAATTATTGATGTTATCGTTGATCAGTAGTCTGGGTTTATTATTTTCTCGCGCTACGCATTAGAAAAAAACTTGAACCTTACATATGCGGAAAGCGTATTTTCCGCCCATGACGGCTTGCTTCCGCACCTGTTGGGTAAATGACTATTTCAGTTTTAATCGTTGTGCTCGTTCAATCTGGAACGATACAGAGTACATATAACTGTCATAACGATGCAGTAACTGAAACAAAATGGACGGAGAACCATTAGTCACTACTACCAATTGTCGCTGTATATACAGGGTGGTCAATATGGAAACAAAAGACTCTTCGTATAAGATTTTTAGGTATTTATGAGACCTACAAAGTGAGCCCACATGTAAAAGGATCCGACTAATAGCAAACATGTTATGGCTGAAAACCAAGGCAATCTGCAGGTTTTGGCACTTGTTCGTACTTCTAAATAACCACAACAAAATTGGAGTAGACTGGTCAAGTAGTTTTTGAGAATTTCTAATTGTTTATCCCAAAACACCTGCTTTTCGGCCATCACTACTGGTTTATTGAGCAATATACAGGGTTAGTTCAAAAAGCATTTTATAGCAAAATACACTACCTTGCCGATATGAATCGCAAACCATTCCGGAAGATAAATGTTATTTTAATGCTAAATGATGGATTACATTTTTTCTTCTAAATAAATTCATACATTTCGTATTTGTAAGTAATTCGCAACAAAAGATTATGGACACATCCGCTTTGTTTTAAAATGTGTATAGTAACATACGTTTTTCGAATATCGTAGCGCATTTGTTCAATTCCTCACAAATACGAAATGTTTGAATTTGTTTAGAAGAAAAAACGTAGGTAACCTTTGTTTTTCGCATAAAAATAACAATCATCTTTCGAAATGGTTTGTAAATCATATCGGAAAAGTAAACACGCGTATTTTGCTATTAAATGCTCTTTGAATCAACCCTCTATATTGCTCAATAAACTAGTAGTGATGGCCGGAAGACAGGTGTTTTGGAATAAACAATTAGAAATTCTCAAAAAACTACTTGAGCAACATACTTCAAGTTTTCCCACAAACATTGGTGTACCCATTTGATACGTCCATGTTTTGAATACCCCCTTGAACAACTTGTAGCAATAAAACCAGACTTTACAATTATTTCGCAAACCAGGGGTATTTTCGTCTAATATGATTAGACTAAAAGGTCGGTGTCATATTTAAGAAAAAACAATTTTCTTTGATAGGTAGACACAGTGTTTTTATTTCTCCTAAGGGAATTTCTGCAATTCTACTTAGCAAGATGGCTGTTACGATGGAAATTGTATATAAACGTCCAAATACAGTAGTAACTTGTAGAATATGTTAATCAATGATATCTTTGGTGTGAAAATTTGTAAACGTGTTTCAGGTTGGACTGACCATGGATGTATAACACACCAAAGATTTTTGTTTGAGGCTTGTGGATGTGCATGATGCGGATACGGTCAAAGAAAAAAATTAAGAGAGTTAAATAAACGGTGTTCAAGCTAACAAAGTGAAATCAGTGGAGAAGGGAATACCTAAAAGGGTACTGCCGATTACCCTTTCCAATATTTAGTTACAATTGGCTTAGCATTAAACGACGATTTTTCAAGATTTTTACCATTTATACTGTCAGGCTATTTCTACATCAGTTCTAGGTTTGTTTCTCACATCTATAGGCTTAGTATCTTAGGTTACACTGAATGACTTCTTAGACGTTTCACCATTTGTAACATCATTTTTTGAGTCTGTATCACATCTAGGCTTCCTTCTGACTTCTATAGGTTTAGCTTCCTTTGTTGCCTCATCCCTAGGCCTTTTTCTCACCTCTATAGGCTTGGCAGCTTGGCTTGCACTGATAGTAGTTTTGGAAGCAGCTTTAGAAGGTATTAATTGATGTATCTGGTCTTTTATTTCTTGAGATAGCTCTTCAGTTTCTGCTTCCACCGTCACTTCATTATTTTCTTTATCCAGAATTTCAATAACTTCTTCACGATCTACATTTTGCTTCTTCGCTTTTTTAGGAGGGGTTTTCAGTGCCCATTTCTCCAAAAAACTCGGTCGTTTCTTCTCAACAGCAGTGCTGATTTGTTCTTTTACTTCAACTTTCCCTTGAGCTTCGACAGGTGTTTCACCATTTTTAATATCATTTTTTGAGTCTGTATTACATCTAGGCTTCTTTCTGACTTCTATAGGTTTAGCTTTCTGGGTTGCCTTGTCTCTAGGCTTTTTTCTCACCTCTATAGGCTCCGCACCTTGGCTTGCACTAATAGTAGTTTTGGAAGCAGCTTTAGAAGGTATTAATTGATGTATTTGGTCTTTTATTTCTTGAGATAGTGCTTTAGTTTCTCCTTTATCCATCGCTTCATCATTTTCTTCATCTAGAATTTCAATAACTTCTTTAGGATCTACTTTTTGCTTCAGTGCTTTTTTGGGAGGAGTTTTCCACGCCCATTTCTCCAACAAACTCGGTCGTTTCTTCTCATTAGCAGAGCTGATTTGTTCTTTTACTTCAACTTTCTCTTGATTTTCCACAGGTGTTTCACCATTTGTAACATCTATTATTGAGTCTGTATCACATCCAGGCTGGTTTCTGACTTCTAAAGGCTTAGCTTCCTGGGTTGCCGCATCCCTAGGCTTTTTTCTCACCTCTATAGGCTTGGCACCTTGGCTTGAACTAATAGTAGTTTTGGAAGCAGCCTTAGAAGGTATTAATTGATGAATTTGGTCTTTTATTTCTTGAGATAGCTCTTCAGTTTCTCCTTCATTCATTGCTTCATCATTCTCTTCATCCAGAATTGCAATAACTTGTTCAGGATCTACTTTTTGATCCTGTGTTCTTTTAGGAGTTTTCAAAGCCCATTTCTCCATCAAACTCGGTCGTTTCTTCTCAATAGCAGTGCTGATTTGTTCTTTTACTTCAACTTTCTCTTGATTTTCCACAGGTGTTTCACCATTTGTAACATCTATTATTGAGTCTGTATCACATCCAGGCTGGTTTCTGACTTCTAAAGGCTTAGCTTCCTGGGTTGCCGCATCCCTAGGCCTTTTTCTCACCTCTATAGGCTTGGCACCTTGACTTGAACTAATAGTAGTTTTGGAATCAGCCTTAGATGGTATTAATTTATGAATTTGGTCTTTTATTTCTTGAGAGAGCTCTTCAGCTTTTCCTTCAGCCATTGCTTCATCATTTTCTTCATCCAGAATTGCAATAACTTGTTCAGGATCTACTTTTTGCTTCTGTGTTTTTTTAGGAGGAGTTTTCAAAGCCCATTGCTCCAAAAAACTCGATCGTTTCTTCTCAACAGCAGTGATGATTTGTTCTTTTACTTCAACTTTCTCTTGACCTTCCACAGGTGTTTCACCATTTGCAGCATCATTTATTGGGTTCATATCACATCTAGGCTGCTTTCTGACTTCTATAGTCTTAGCTTGCTGGGTTGCTTGATCTCTAGGCATTTTTCTCACCTCTATTGGCTTGGCATCTTGGCTTGAACTAATAATACTAGTTTTGGACGCAGCTTCAGAACAACAACTGTCTTCTTTCACATAAGGTGTGCCTAATTCTCCAACATCAAAAGTAACTAAAGCACAGAAACCATCTGTTGAAGATGCTGTCAGCAAAAGGCCATCTTGAGACCATGTTAGATCAGTTACACGCGTGTAGTGAATTTGATGAAACCTGAAAAGATCAAAATATCAAAGGTCAAATGGAAATAACCGCTTATTTCTTACATCTGAAGATGTAATATTTGAGATTTGGCGGCAAAGTACTGTGCACCTCTGTCAAAAAGAACAATTCTAATTTATCATAAAATGAAAAGGCCTTCATAGTACATGAAGTATCTTCGCATCAAGGGCGCTCCCCTAGACACCCAGGCCTGTAATTTTTTTCAGCTAAATTCATGTTCGTACAGCAGTCGCCAACCTGTCAATGACCGTGATCAATTCCGTTCAATCTGCTACATTATCTAGACGGAATTCACACGGCGCGATCCCAGGCCGCTATCACCGACCACTGTGTCTTGGTACGAAAACAAGTTATCTAAAAACGCGCCAAAATTGTTTTTTTTCGATCTCAGCGAAGTTTTTTTAGTTTTGTTGGGCCATTCTGAACAAAAAAGGCGTTTATGAACTTATCTTTAAAGTTGATGGTTTTCGAGATATAAACGATTCAATATTTGAAAAACTGTTAAATATGCCAATTTCGGCCAGAAAAAAAACATATGTTTTTTAATTGCTAATCAAGCACAATGTATGCAGCCAATTCCACGGGTACCCAGTACGTTTTACGTCTACTGAGATAAATAGCTGATCAGCAAGTGACATCTTTATATTAGTCTGTAATGTTGGCAATAATGAATTGGTTGCAAATCTAATACAACTAAGGACAATATTCAGAGCTCTTGTTCACGTATCTGCATACTTTTACTGAGAATGTTTTCAATAAAATATTGGCGTACATAAAGGAAAAATGTGTATTAAAAAATAATACTAGTTTTGGTGGCAGCTTCAGAACAACGACTGTCTTCTTTCACAGAAACCATCTGTTGAAGATGCTGAGGCCGTCTTGAGATCATATTAGATCAGTTATATGCGTGTAATGAATTTGATGGAAGCTGAAAAGAGTTCAATAGCAAAGGGCAAATGTTTTGGATTCAACGAGAAATTCTAAACACTTCTTTATTTGTTTGTTTGTTGAAGATTTATCTAGCATTAATGCTACAATGTCAATTTTGTATAATGATTTGGTTACATATTTTTCTTAATCCATTTTCTGTAATTTTACATTCTTGTCTATTAAAATTAAAATTTCGTCACTATGTATTTTGATTATTCATAAAGTGATTTTTTAATTTTACCTTAAACATTTTTAAATTCTAACTCTGTTTAATATCATTATTCAATTTATTAAATTCAAATACTACCTTTTGAAATATAGATTTATTAGTTATGCTACTATTACAATTTTGCAGATGAAAATCTATACTGCCTCTAATTTCGTAGTTATGATAATGACTATTTAATTTTGTGAAGTTCTCTAAATGTGGTGGTAATAAATGATTTTTTTAATTTGAATATGAAAACGAGAACTAAATAATGTATGAAATTTTTCACATCCAACCACTGCAGTTCTTCTAACATAGACTTAATCCTAGTATATTTATTTTTTTAAATGATTCTCATAGCTTTATTTTGTAGAATTTGTAATTTTGAAAACACATTTTCATTTGCTGTAAACAAGATGGTTGAACAATATAAAAAATGGGGAAGAATTATAGTGTTATGGGAAACTCTATAGAAGTAATTTATCGTTTTCGATATTTTTGAAATAATGTATCATAATGTTCGTGAAACAGTAGCTTACTATCCACATATATACCAAGATATTTAAATGACTCGACTACTTCAATTTATTCATCATTAATCATGAGCCTAATTGTATTGTTACCTAAATGTTTCCCTATTGACATAAATGTTGTTTTATTAGTGTTTAATTTAAGTTTATTGACATTTAACCAATTCATAATTTTTTCAATATCACTATTTAACAGTTCAAATGCTCATGTGCTATATATATATATTTTGAACACTTGACATAATATTTCCAACTTTAGTTTTTTGACTTCTATTTAGTAAATAATTTTGTGAAATGTGTAATACTGATCCTTCAAAGCCATAGTGACGCAATTTAACTAACAATGTTTCCCTATCTATAGTCTCAAATGCCCTTTTGAAGTTCTAAAAATATTGTTACAATATATTTTTTCTCATCTATACTTCTTCTCCAGTCTTCCACCACCATTTGGATTGCCGTTTTGTGGAATATTTTTTTCTAAATCCAGCTTGATTTTTTATCAAAATTTTGGTTTCTTCAATGAATTCTATGATTTGTTCGTATCGGGCAAGAAATTAATCGGTCGCATATATACAGCTGAGAATTTTGAACTTTTGGCACAGGAGTAATGGTGGAACACTTTAATTTTGATGGGAATTCACCATGTACTAAACATACTTTGACGTAGACCTCATAGTTTTCGAAATAACAATAAAACGGATTTTTTTCACCTAAGCAATGACCAGCATCGAAAATAATTTTCTGTCAGTTCTCACATTGAAAAGCCCATTGAGTTTTATTAGTAGAGTTAATAAGAATATGATTCAGCTGTGGTATAGATGAAGTTCCAACAAGAATAGTAAAACTTTCCATTCCAGTTTTAAAACATGTGTTGTGCTCACTTATTGATAATGCTTTTAGACAAGGATCATTCCCAGAGAATTTGAAAATAGCTGTTATAAAACCAATTTTTAAAAAAGGTAATCCAGAGCAATTATAAAATTATAGGCCAATCAATATTTTAACAGGTTTTTCAAAATTATTTGAGTTAGGCATCAGTAAGAGATTATTAGAATTTATGAATGACTGTAATTTATTTAATACACATCATCATGGCTACCTACATGGGAGATCAACAGATACTGCAATCTTTCAATTTGTTCAAACAGTACTTAAGCAATTAGAAGAGGGAAAATTAGCGGTTAGTTTCTACCTGGACTTGTCCAAAGCTTATGATTGCATCAACAGAGACATATTGTTATTAAAGCTACAAAGATATGGTGTAAGAGGAACTGGGCTAGAATTGTTCAAGTCATACCTCTATAATAGACAACAGAGGGTTGAAATTGTTAAAGGAGGTCAAACTTACAAGTCAAACATTGAGTTGACTTCAACTGGCATAGCACAGGGTAGTATACTTGGGCCCATTTTGTTTGTAGTTTTTTTAAACGATCTCTGTTTTGTTACTAGTGGTGATCAGAGCAAGCATAAAATTATCTGCTATGCTGATGACACAAATTTAGTGTTGGGTGGGACAAATGTAGAGGACCTAACTGCTAATGGGAATCTCTTATTCAGAAGTGTGAATACATGGTTTTCTTTGAACAAACTAGTGCTGAATAAATCCAAAACTGATGCAACATTATTGAGAACTATGCAGAGTAAAGTCGTTAAGCCACAATGTATCGATATAGATGATCATCAACTGCAGTTGAGTGAAAGTGTAAAATTCTTAGTCATCTATATTGATGAATTTTTAGATTGGACAACACATGTATTCGAACTGCTGAAGAGGCTCAATTCCATTTGCTATGGTTTTAGGGTAATATCAAGATATCTAAATAATAAGAGTATGAAAATATTGTACCATGCTAATTTTGAAAGTGTTCTTAAGTATGGGATTATTTTTTGGGGATGCAATAGGTTTATTCAAAAAATTATTGTGGTTCAAAAAAGAGCAGTATGTCTGCTAAAGGTACTAAATTTCAATGAAACTTGCAGGGGGATGTTTAAAACTGAAAAAATCATGACTATGTATGCCATCTATGTGTATAAGTGTCTTATATTTTTATCAAAAATAAAAATTTATTTGAGCTTGAGGTGCAAACTGTTTATGATACTCGAACAGCCAATGTTACTTATCCGATACACAGATTATCCTCCACAGAAAAAAGCCCTATTTACATGTGTTTAAAATTGTTTAACAATCTACGAAATTCTAGCTGCTTTCCTGACAAACGGCAGAATTCGGCTCTTACTACCGTATAGAAAGATCCGTTCTTCCATTCAACAAAAAAAAATAGAATAATTGTTCACCTAGACCTTACCGTGAGCCAAGAAACACAAAAAGAGTTAAAGGAAAACAGAAATGAAAAACTGTTGTGTACACAGAAAAACGAGTTAAATTTTGTATGCTTCATATTGTGCAGTCATCATGGCATAATGAAGACAAACATGGGTTTTCCTCCTTATAAAATCCAATCAGTCCATGCTTTAAAGGAAAGTGATTACTTATTACGGAAATCTTGTGCTGAACGGATATTGAATCTTTTTTCGCAGAATGTTGTCTTCAGTGACGAGACTCATTTTCACGTAGACAGTTATGTGAACAAGCAAAATTGCAGATATTGGGCACCAACTAGGTCATCGGACCTCACGCCTTGCGATTATTTTTTGAAGGGTTATCTAAAGTCAAAAGTGTATTCCAATAATCCACGACACTGGAGGAGCTTATCGACAACATTCGACGAGACATAAACATCACTCCGGAACCCGGCAACAGAGTGTTTCAGAAAGAGTGTGTCTGAAGGGATGGCGAACATTTGGACGGAATGATACGTAAGAAATAAAACCCGCCGAATTTACGAATATGTTGATAGTAATAAATATTTGCTTTTCATTATGTTTGTAATTTTTTTCTTAAATCAAAAAGTGAACTTTCCCACTAGAGCCCTGTATCACGTCACTTGTATCTCGAAAACTATCAACCTTAGAGGAAAATTCATAATACCATTGTTTGTTGAGAATGGCCTTCCAAAAAAAAAACGAATTAGAATATTCTTCTGACCAGACCAGACAACATCTTACCTAGCAAATGGTTCCTTCTGTTGAGTATCATACAGGATAATATCATGGTCAGTCCCAACAGCAAAAACCATACGATACGGCAACTTCACAACAGGTTCAGGACCATCTTCACGTAGATTGAACAGAATAGGGCAGAAACGAACGACTGTGCTGCATTGGTTAGGTAAAGGCAGAACTGCACATGGCCTACAATTCCAAAACATCTATAAGTGATAACATTAATGACTAGATGTTGGGATATAGAATTTATCATGTCATCAATAAACTAGGAATAAAAGTGGCCATAAACTGCTGCCTGAAGAACACTGTTTTTGATTAGTTTTGTTGTTGGTGTAGAGTTGTCATATTTTGATAACTCATATTCATTTGATAAGCATGATGCTGAATAGATGACATTCAAGTTTCATAACAAAAATTGAGCAACATAATTTGTTCAAAGAAGTTGGTTTTGCACATATTGGGAATCAGGAATTTAACCTGGTTCCATTGATGAATAATGTTTACACAAAAACTAAAGATGGCATTCTCAAAATTGTAATGAATAGAAGCTTTTGATCCACTGAGGAACCTCTATATCTAATATGCATCTAAAATAAGAGGCATATATGCTGTGTTATTTGAGGGGCAAATGTACAAAATTGATATCTAAAGTGGAATAAGAACATTACAACATATGACAACTTACAAATTATAATTATCAATGGCAAACATAAGAGTTGCACAAAGTACTTTTTTACAGTCTTCTGCTTCCATCCTGCCAGAGGGAACAACTAGTAGTGAGCCATCAGGTGAAAACTCTAGTCTGAAATTAAAAAGAAACATTAAATCGAAATCAAGCAACATGAAAATAGAGCTCACCTTCTGAAAAATGATTTGAAAGTATCATCATGGAAATATTTCACTTCTTTACCACTTAAAAAATGATTGGATGGTACTGGTACAGTTCCTTTCTGAATTCTTGCCTTCACATGCTTACCGCTTATGTCAAACAACCTGCATATTCTATCTGTACTGAGAGAACTCAGAAATTGTTTTTTTGGGTCCCATGAAACTCCCTATGGACAAAAAACAGGCACATGAATATATAATCTAATTTTTGGTTTGAGTTAACATAGTACATTTGTCAATTCTATGTTCACAACAATTTTGACTTGATTATGTCTTTGAGAAATATTATTGAAAAAAATAATAAAAAACAATATTTTCACATCTAGCTGCCTATGCAGTCTGGTATAGGGCCAGAATGCATATGATTAAGTAAAGTAATAAATATAAGGTTAACAAACCATACATATATTTTTTATCAGAAAAAAAGGGACAATCATTTTCATTGAAACTATACAGGATGTTCCATTTAAATAAATACAAGATCCAGTATAAAAAAAACAATATATGAGAAACTTCATATTGGACCCTGTAACTTTTACAACTTTTTCTTCTAGACGGTCATGTGAAAAAGTTAGAGGGGCTCACTTTATAGCTGGTAGCGTGTGATATCTTCATTTATTTCATACCTGTACAAAGCCTTTGTGATCAGTCAAAATGTGTTCCATTTTACCCTTGGCAAGATCCCATAAAATAGCAGTGTTATCTACAGATCCTGAAAATAATTTGGAACCATCAATAGACCAGCTTAGGTCATATATGTCCTCTTTATGACCCCTTAGCACCTAAAAATAATTTTAATAATCTGATTACATGGTTTTACTCCAAAATACCTAATGGTTATAACTATGTATCTTCAATATTTAAGAATGGCATTTAAATGAGGACCTCTCTAGTGACTAATTAGAAGAAGTAAAGATCTTTTTTTGTTATAAATGTATAATGTCAGTAAAATTTGAAACTAGTCTATCCTGAATAGTTAGTCCCTTTGTGGATTTGTTTCAATAATTTAATTTATATGTAAGTATCTCAACATAATAGTAATAGCAATTTTATCAATTTATAAAGTACAGACATTGACTCTATGACCACATTCCCAAATAAATGCTCAGTGAAATTCTGTTTGTTTTTGTATGTATTAATCTAAAAAGCTCTGAAAAATTATAATGCAATATGAAAACTAGACATTGTTGATTTAAATAAAAATAGTAGGTATGAACACCTCTATAGATTCAGCACTCTATAGATCCTTACCAAATGGTGTGTATGAAAAATTAGCACATCATTGTCACAATGGTAAATTAATTTTGCAGAATCCAGTACTTTTTCAGTTAGGGTTCAGGAAGCCTGAAGTGATTGGAAATATCTCCATACTGTGTCACACATTTGTGATCAATTACTGAATGATAAAATAATAAGTAGTTAGGATGCTTAAGCTTGATAAAATAGCAGTACGTTATAAAAGCATTTTTATGAATATGTATTGGGCAGTGGTTCTTTATTAACAGCATTATGTATTGACTATAAGTTACCTTGTGCACAACCCATGTTTCTTTATTCTCATTATCACCTTCCAGCAATGGTACATTATCAGTTTTCAGCTGCCACACAATGATGTAAGCGTCGTCGTCTGCAGAAGCAAGGAATTTACCTTCAGGTGACCATCGTACACAATTCACAGCTCTCTGATGTCTAGTCAGGTCCGATACCACCTCTTGTTTCACGGCACCATTCTCAGTTATGGTCATCTGCCATATCTGCAAATAACCCGGATGCTCAATAGATTCCCATACGGCTTTTTCACGTTTTCTTACCAATACATGACTATCACCACCTCCAGAGGCTAACTTATAAAATTCACTTGAAATTGGGTGAATGTCGACACTCAGCACCGGTTCTCTATTGTGCCATGATATCTCTGGTATTGTACACTTCATAATTATAACACAAGTTAAAAATACTTCATTAAAATTACAAAAAGGGCAGCATTTGCAACTGTTTATTATACCTAAAAAATTTCACTCTTTTCGCGCCAAATCCCAGGTCAACGTACTGACAGATGACATATTTGGGACGGCATGGATAGGAAGATTCAAGTTTCATAACTCTGTTACTAAGTTACATTAAAATTAAAATCAGTGGCAGGGCTCTCAAAGCGAGAGGATATCGAGCGAAGGTAGTGATTTTTTATCATATACAGAGAGTAAAGTTTTAATAATACCATAAGGCTGATGACACCTATGAATTCTAAAGTTGGTTTTTATACATTTCATAAGTTTTGTTTCATTAACAGTCCAACTCTATTACTACTAGCACTGCTATCTACGGATAAAAGCATAACGAAGATATGTGACAATCTCTTGTATAAAAAGCAAATTCTTTTTTAGTGACGATTATTTTCAAATAAAATATATCTCGCTACTATTATTTAAACGTAAGTCTTTATTCTGAGAATTTTGTATGAAAAATACTTTGAACAAACTTCATTTCAATGTTCATTTTTCTTATAGCTGTTTTAGAATGTTGCGTAATTTAACTTAAATTATAAAATTGTAATAAAGTTAAGATATGGTTTGAGTGGGTAGTAAAACTTTCAAGTATCTATTTTAAAATTAGTTATTCCTTTCCCTATAGCCTATTTTTTATATCATTTTCCAAAAGTAAGCTAATTTCTGCTAGTCACTAATACGCACGGTACTGTAATGTTGGTAGCGGTCGCCACTGTCACTAGCTCTAGCATTTACAAAACATAATCTCTGTAATGCTGGTTGCCTTCTGTGATGTTGGTTGCACTCTGTAATGTTGGTTGCGATCCGCCACTGTGACTAAACTCTGGGCGCTGAAGAAAGACATTAAACGTAAACAGTGATCAGCACGTGAACAGATCCCTCGAAAGCATCCACGGATATACTCCAGTCACTTTAGGTCTAAACATCCTCGGCAGTGTATTTCTAGTGAATCCACAGACCCTTTTTCGTGTCATCTTGAGACTAGAAAAAGGATGACTGTTAAAATAAGTTACCTTGATCTTTCATGAGCTCCCAGTACAAAACATCATCGATATATTTTTGATGTAGGAACAACAAATTGGTTTAGAAAACATCCACTTTGAACCTAAATTGACTGGAGTAACATCGATCTACAGACAAATTCAAGGTCACTAGCAGTCGTCGGCGCTCTACGAATCTGCACAGGTTTGGACTTGTAAACGTGATTGTAGATGACACGACAGGCATCTAACAGTTAATTCACGCACAGGATTGCATTGCATACGCATTACGCATTCAGTAGCGTATACTCGTTTTTCGCGAGTGGAACGTTTTGTTTATATATTGCCTAAGATACGATGTCTGACACAGATACAGCCGACGAAGTGGTTGACATCAGCGCAACCCCACCCAAAAAAAGGGCTAAGAAGCTACATTTAAGTGCAAATGAAAAACAAATAATATTAAATATATACAAAAACCAAATTCAAGAAAAACCCGATTTGGTCGTGGACGAAGTTATATGTAAGGTAGCACATATTTCTGGAGTATGTCGGTCCAGTGTTTATAGGATCATTAAGGAATATAGGAGCACTCACTCACTTTCTGAGCCAAAACCGTATCCTGCAAGAAAAAGGATAACGGACGGAGTAGATGACTTTGACAGAACTGCCATCAGGAGGAAAGTGCATAATTTTTTCTTCCGAAATGAGATACCTACAGTAGATAAGATATTAAGATTAGTTAATGCTGATGAGGATCTTCCATCATTTAAAAGAACCACATTCCGAAAACTTTTGAAGGAACTTAATTTTCGATTCTTGAAACGGGGAAGAAACAGTATGTTAATAGAGAAAGAAGAAATTGTTGTGTGGAGAAGGGAATACCTTAGGAAGATTCGGAAGTTTCGCGATGAAAAAAGAAAAATTTACTATTTGGACGAAACGTGGGTGAATGCTGGACATACTCAAGCGAAAGTTTGGGTCAACAAATCAGTAACATCATCAAGGCAGGCTTTTCTAGACGGTCTTTCGGCTGGATTGAAAAATCCTGCAGGTAAGCTCCTTCATCTATCCGGCAATTTAATTTTGATAAATTCGGGCAAATAATATGCTGTGATAGCAGATAATGTGTGATATTCTCCAAAAATGGTGCATTCGCAGTGTAGTCATTAGGAAAAAAACTTCGACCCTCTTTTAAGCGTTATTTTGAAATTTATTATCATTTTTGGGTGCAGTCAATTTGCTTTGAATGGGTTTTGAGAAGTTGCAAACTTCAATTTTCTACGTTTTTCAGTTTTTGATCAGCATTCCGTGACTCTTAAATTCAGCTAAATGAACTCAATTGCCTCATTCCTTCAAATTTAATCAATCCATAGTGTAAGGAATAATTTATTTCCAGGAAAAGGCAAACGGCTGATCATTTGTCACGTAGGTAGTGAAGACGGCTTTGTTTCCGAAGCACTGTGGGCCTTTGAATCAAAAAAGACAGGGGACTATCATGAGGAGATGGACGGCAATTCCTTTGAAAATTGGTTCTCCAAAATGTTACTAAAGCTGGAGAATAACGCTGTTATTGTACTGGATAATGCCCCGTACCATTCTAGAAAAATATAAAAAAATCCCACAATGGCAACTAAAAAAGCAAACATACAACAATGGCTGGCCTCAAAACAGATCGATTTTGATGAAACAATGGTCAAGGGTGAATTGATAAGTATAGTCAATAGACATAAATACAAATACGATTTTAAAATGATCGACGAAATGGCCAAAAAACAAAATAAAACTGTCTTGAGACTGCCACCCTACCATTGTGAGCTGAACCCTATTGAGCTGATTTGGGCCAACATAAAGCAATACGTGGCGTCGAATAATAATACTTATAAATTTTCTGATGTTAAAAATCTCTTTCACATCGCAGTCAATAGAGTTACGGCAGAGGAATGGAAAAACTGTATCCGCCACGTTGAGGTCAAAATGTGGGATTTGGACAATGTCATCGATACCCAAATTGAACCTCTAATAATTCATTTAAACGATTCAGAAGATTCAAGTTCCTCTTCTGAATGAGTGCGCGCAGCTTACTTACTAATAACTAAAAAGTGTAGTTAACTCATTTGTGAATCTCTAACTGAAATTTACTGTAAAAGATAATAATTATCTTGTATGAAATTTTTGATGACTACCCATAATATCTTGATGCGGTCCTGTAATGTCTCCTGCGCCTAAACACTCACTCACGAGCAATATGCGTGTATTTGTTTGGGTTTAGTTTCTTTCTTCAGCGCCTAGAGTATAGCTCTAGCATTTACAAAACATGCTCTGTAATGTTGGTTGCAGTCCGCCACTGTGACTAGCTCTAGCATTTGCAAAACATAATCTCTGTAATGCTGGTTGCCTTCTGTGATGTTGGTTGCACTCTGTAATGTTGGTTGCGGTCCGCCACTGTGACCAGCTCTAGCATTTACAAAACATACTCTGTAATGCTGGTTGCGCTCTGTAATGTTGGTTGCAGTCCGCCACTGTGACTAGCTCTAGCATTTACAAAACACATTATCTGTAATGCCGGTTGCGCTCTGCAATGTTGGTGGCGGTCCGCCACTGTCACTAGCACTAGCATTTACAAAACATACTCTCTGTAATGCTGGTTGCCTTCTATGATGTTGGTTAAGCTCTGTAATGTTGGTTGCGGTCCGCAACTGTCACTAGCTCTAGCGTTTACAAAAAATACGCTTTGTTATGTTGGTTGCAGTAAGGCATCAAGACACTGGTTTGATTCAGTGGATATAATATCACTGACGTCTGACCATTCTTATAAATCCGCTTTTTTGTGTCGCTAAAAACGACTAATAAAAAACCTCCAGCTCTGGCAGCTTGTTTTCTAGGTAAATCAGTTGCTTATATGTATTCTGAATTCGATGTCAAATCAGTTCTAGGATTCACTACCAATTTTTCATCCCAAATCGGATCCGAGGAAACTAGAATTTTTCACTATGTCGGGACCAAAAATGAAACATCATACACAGGATCGTATTTTCAGGAGGTCTTCTATGTTCTATATAAGATTTTTTCCTCGGGGTTTAAAAAGATACGGGGTGTTCAAGTTTAAAAATAAAAAACATTTTTTTCATATATCTTCAAAACCGTCAACTGAAAGTATTGTCCACATTAAAAAGTCTTTACTTAACATTAACGTCCACCAGTGGCAGAGATATAGGGGATTAGTAAAATTATGTTTCTAAATAGAAAAAGTGCGCCACTGTTTTTACCTTCAATTTGTTACAAATAATTACTGTTGTTTTTTTCCAGAGTGCACTGTTTTCGTAAAAATAAAAATATAACAAATTAGATCATTCATGAAGAGCTGAATTACAATTAGCTTCAAAATGAAATAGGGGGCCTTGATGCCATCTTACGTTTCTTGGAAGATAGTTTGTCAAAGTTATGTGTTACACGGTTGTTATCGTTACTACTACCATTTTTTTTTTTTTGTAAAAATCAATTCGAAGTCTCTTTTTTCCATTTTTGAGTGTTGTGAAATGGAATTTCTTCTTTTTGTGGGGCGCTTTTAAACAACTAGTGTATGGTGAACAAATTAATACTGTTGATCAGTTACAAGAACGAATAGATAATGCGTTTCATCAAATTCAATCCACAACAATTTTTGCGGAAAACATGCCGCACCTTTATCCGTCAGAATGGTAGTATTTTTGAACATTATTTATTGGAATAAAGCTTTATCTAATTCGTTATTTTATTTTACGAAAACAGTGCACTCTAGGAAAAAACACAATAGTAATTCCTTGTAGCAAATTGAAGGTAAAGTTCGAGTTATTGCGCGTTTCAAAAAAAAAAACAGTGGGGTACTATTTTTATTTTGAAAAATAATGCTACTAATCCCCTGTATCTCCGCCATTGGTGCGCTTAATTTTAAGTAAGGACTTTTGAATGTGGACAATACTTAGGTAAATCCACATACCAAATTTTAGTTCATTCCAGTTAACGGTATTGAAGGTGTTAAAAAATGTTTTTTTATTTTTAAACTTCAACACCCCGTATCTTTT